TGTGTGTGCGCCGTTTATTGAACCATAGCTTCAATAGATTTAAACTGGTGTCATGCTTGATTAGGGCTTGCCCCCTAAAGATGGCGAGAAAACTGAGATAATGAGGTCCTGTGATTACCTTTTTCCCATGGACTGGAGCTGTCGCCTGTTCACAAAACCACACTGTACACAGGCACAGCGATACTCACTTATCATTTAACACACACAAAAGCTGATCCCCAACAACAAACTGGGGACTGGGGACAAATCATATAATGTCCACCCGTATCCAATCGCCACTAATTAACGCAATCCCACCTTCCTCGTTAATACAGCGACCAATTCATTTTCTATGTGTGTCAAAGGTCCATAGGCCACAGTCGGTCGCCAAGGACATTTGTGCAGCTCTGCAGCCTCTTTGTGGGCCGTGGATCTTATTAGTTCATGACCCCGGTGCTGAGAGGTTATGGGCTCTTCGCTGCCGCGGCCTGAAAACCAGAATGTTTCCTAATCGGGTTTTTAATTGGTTTGTTGAACAGCGCGTTGGGAGTTTGAATGGGATGGACGTGCTGAAATCAGAGAAAGTATGAGTTTGTTTGTTTTGATTGGAGAGTCAAACACAATTATTTTGTGTCGTATATGTGAACCTACATAAAGGTGCATGCTGAAAGGTATCTCGAAGCGACTAAATACTTAGATACTAGGTTATTTGTTTGTTTATTGATGTACGTTTGGTTATCTAGAACTAAAAGTGTGGTAAATTCGGATTTGCTTCCAAAAATTATATCAGAGAAAAAGGCACACTTCAAAAAACGATTGAATGCGTTGCAAAGCCAGTAAGCCAGTAATGCAATGCGGTTAAAATAATTGCATATTAAATAAATACTTCGCAGGTCTAAATTTACATGACAGATGACAAGGTGTTATAGCTCTGCTGTGAATAGTATGAGCATCTAATTTCAATAGAGATATAATATGATCAAAGCTGACAGTATTTTGAAAATAAAATAGGTTTTTTCTCAACGTAGAAACTGAGTGAGCGTGTGCTAAATAATCGCTTCCCACTTTCTCTTCCATCTCTTAAGCATCATCGTGTTCTTACACTGTCACGTTAAAAATTGCTCCAGACAGTTGTATAGCATTTACATATTGCATGACTGCACTGTAGGCCTTCAAGATCAGCGCTTAGACCTTGAACCACATCATCTTTGAATAATGTGAGTGCCTCGCTATATGCCTCCCCTAAGCTACCAGTACCTAAATGACTAGATCTCTAAAATGCCATATGCACGCAACTATTTTACAAAAAGGCAATTTCGTACGAGTTCATGCAATGCGTGTTTTAAATACAATTTGCCTAAAAAATTATAATAAGCATGAAGCTGCACTCCATCAATTTGCAAAAACTTTTTTTGAGCCTTTGCTGGCGATTTCACTGTTTGGTAATGTTTTCACGCTGTGATAGAGAAACGTTTGAAGATTTTGGCCTAAGTTCAACACCTTTGAATTTGAAATCTCTCGCGAGGTAACGATTAGGTTTTCAGGTTGACCTTTGTGTGGTTTGGATACCGCGTTGAAAAACTAATACACGGTTTTGTGTGTTTTGCATATAGTTATAGTCAAATAAATTAAAATACTCTCTATCCCCTTTCAATGTGTCAGTAAAAAACTAGAAGTCATTATTGCACGTTTAGACGAGTGAAGCTATTTCTTTAGCTCACTTCCATCTTATTTGGTGCTTTCTGCTCCAATCAGGTTCGCTAGACTCTGAAACACTCCCCCTCTTCATGCAGAACAGCTGTGGGAACTTTAATACATGAAAGCTCAAAACCGCATCGACTTCCTTTCGTTTTCAAGTCACTTTACGTCAGCCACACGGAAAACAGATAAACATTCAAGCCCTTTAACATAAAGTGAGGGCTGGATATTTCTTAACACGCTTCACAGCCTATATTCAGCGTGAAGTGCATTTGAAATTTAACAGCTAAAGATGCTTTCTTTAATGACGTGAAATTCCACAATAAATTACAATATTTGTCTGCACGTAAGCAAAAAAAGAGGCACGTATCCATTAACGCATCTCTGATACAAACATCGATACGAAAATATACATCAATAGAACAGGCACTTTTTTAAAATATCTGAGTTAGTATAATTATATTAAAATATATACTACTTTTTGGCGTGGAAAAGTCTATTTTTATACTCTTGAGAGAGAGCAAAACATCTAAAAATGAGTAAAACAGGTAGATTATTGTATGGTAGATTTTAGAATCACTTAGTACTGAAACGAGTGGTGCAGAAAGTAATGCATGGACTCCTGTGCACCAGCTCATCTTCAGCTCTATCAGATTTATTGATTCTTTAAATGACAGAGAGATAGTTATAATGGACACATGTGGCAACATCTAAACAACATAGATTTCACACTAAAGCAGATTACACTGATTATAGAGGACAACCTCAAGAAGCTTCATTACAGGAGCAAATATTTACACTGAACAAGATTAGCTGAACCAGCTCTTAAATGAGTTAATCAGTGTAATATTTGCAGTATAGTTCCCATGTGTCGTCAATCATGTGTCAAGAACAGTCTCCTGTAAAAGGACTCTACCATTCACACACAGTATACTCTGGAATTTCATATTTAGCTTATCCATTATTTAATGTTCTTGATGCAGTTGGGACAGTCCAGAATTATCTATATACAAGCTTATATATAGGGATTATTGAGACCATTGGGAGACCACAAAGCAGCAACATGTAGTTTTTCTTTTCAAATTAGCCTATAATGAAGGATTTTGCAGGGAGAGCAGCAACTAAATATAAGAAGCCGAATGCAGATGAAAATATGTGCTCATGCTCTAAAGGACAAGACTTTAAAAAACAACATTTACTGTAGAATTTATGAACTAAAAATGTGGTTTTATGTGACATAAAATACCTCTGGGAAGCTGACATGTCACACATGGTATACTCCACATTTTAAACATCATTTGCTAATTCTTTATAATTACTATGCATTTTAACTCATATTTATTGAGAGGCTATTTGTATTTTTAAAATCATTTGTCACACCACAGGACCATTAGAAATGAATTAGCATAGACAAAAATGGTGCAAAGCACTTTCCCTTTATTTTTAGCATATGTTGCACTGCATCACAATCCAATTCTAAAAACAAAAAATACTTCTGTGTGTCTTTAAAAACTTCTAAGTGAAATCCCTGTCAATTGGAAAACTGCTAAATACCTCAGAAGAATGCAAAGGATTTGCCTGCCTGGTAATACATTCCTCCCAGATTTAGGAAACTTACTATTATGAAAACTACTATATTAAAACTGTTATGGAGCTACTGCATCAAGTATGATGATCTGTTGTTGCTGATCGATCATGAAGGCTTAGAGCCACAATGGATTTGTTCACAGATAAAATCAAGAAAACAACCCAAAATATCTGTTTGCACAAAATGCGGAAATATTGGGTTCAGTTTCGTAGAAAATACTGACAGGACTGAACATCGACGGGGAAAGCTAAATGTTTTAGCGGATTCTATTAATGACTGTTTGACTTGCTCCATTATTATTGTTTTAGATTATAAAGAAAGGAGCAGCGGCGCAGTCAAAGCACCTCTCATTGCTCTGTCATGCGTCTTGTTTTCTTGTAATCCTTGAGAAACATAACATTTACTGTATTTAGTACATTGACCGATCTGCAGAGGTTGCATTTTAATTAACTTAGTATTCACTAAAAATAACAAAAATACCACTGTAACACTCTGCCCCCCTCCCTTGTGCATCAGTTAGAGATGAATATTAAAAATTAATGAACCCCCAGGCAAAAACAGAGAAATACGCTTATGGGTCACACACACACAACCGCGTTCACATATCTAGAGAAAATCGTATTTCAAAATCCTAATCATACTGATTACTATAAATAAGAAGTGGGCATCAGACTGCATGCCACAGTGTTATTTTCATTAACTGCACAAAGCTAAAATACGTTTTGTAAAACTGCACACGGACGCATAGCGACCAAAGAACGAATTATCTCACAGCCTTTCGTTTAATATTCATAGGCAATCTCTTTGCATCCACAAAAAAAATAGGCAACGTGATTATTGTTGCGCTATTGTTTATTAGACCCGATTTAAACCTGCGCAGAACAGATATGCCTCCTTTTGAGAACACATGAGCAGTGGCAGTAGTATTTGGCCACTTGATGAAGGGTGGTACATGTTACAAACTGGTTCTCTGCTCTGCTGACTAGATAATTGAGTCAGTGTTTAGGCACTGTTGAACTCAGATGTCTGTCCACGGCCCTCTGTTGTTTACGTGTGAATGAGTCCAGTGTTGTGTATGGGGCGCCAGTGTTCTGCTGCTGACAAACAGGACTGAGCTGCGTTCGCTTATCGCCACAACGATGCAGCATGCGACCTGTCTGCGGCATGTCGAAAGAGAAAATTGAGCAAGCCACTGATAATTGAGTGAAACCAACAGCCTGTTCTTATAATATGCAGATTTTTTTTTATCTAAATACATTTTCCCTCTAAAGATGCATTTATATTTCTAATAAGGCGAGTCTGATCGAGTGTATTTGCCAGTGATTTAAAACATGGCTCCTTTTATGCATGCTTTAGTTATTTGATAGGTTATTGCGGTCTTAAACAATAGTGACACTCACATCAGGGAAATATATTTATAGTCTCATTCAAGCAAATCTTGAAAGTGAGTGGGGGTAAACAGAAAGAAAAAGGTTCATAAATATATAAAGTGATAACCCCATAGATATTATATTAAAACTGCTGTGCATTTGAATTAAATCTAGCTGACTGCTAAAAGGGTGCGCGCGGCACTGTAAATTTGATAACCACGCTTTGAAAATGTTTTGTAAATAATAATAATAATAATAAATGAAAGCTGCAGAACTGTACAACTGAGATACGGTTATTAGCAGCGCAAGACTTTACTAGAACAAAGTGTACGTCCTACATAACGTTAATGCTGATGAACTGCAAGCTTTCCAAACGCATCATTCGCATCTCTTAACCAATACCAAAAATGATTGTGAATTTCTCAGGTTAAACGCGCGTCTGGAGCGCTATCTGATCTGCTGTGCGCGAAAAGAGGCCAACAGTGACGCTGTGCGCAGGAGACCTGGAAGTTCAGCTTCTCTGGGTCCCGCAGACCGACAGATGCGTGTCCTAATGATGCTGGCATGTTCACACAACAGCGAGCGAGGCAGCGGCAGCAACAGTGTTCTCCAACACCTTTTTATAAGTCTGAAGTCTTTCCCCTCCACCCGACCTGTTAAAACCACGCCTACAGAGCGACACAATTGGTCCAAAAGCGTCAAAGAGCCAATCAACAGCGGGCTGCTGCTCAAAACACGCAACACATCCACACCACCGAAGCCTATGGAGTTCAGAAGCACTGGGAATATCTCTGTGCTGGACCCTGTGCTCCGCATATCGCGCTCTGCTGAAATGTGTGTGCGGGAGAGAAAGTGTGTGTGTGAGCGTGCGAAGGTGTATACCTCCAACAAGTAAAGACAGCGGAATTATTCCGAGGCATCGAAATATTTCAACACATCTCTTTGGCGGTACTCGGGACGATCTCATTATTAGCGGAATGTCTATTTTACAGGATCCCAAAAGAAATCCGCAAGCTGACACACAGTGACTCGGCCGATTCTTTTATTTTTATTCTCTCGATTTCATAGCGCACCGCCAAAAGACAAGCCGCGAAGATAGCCGTTTCACACTTTCTCTTTTAGAGACTTTGTTGGAATCCAGCTAGAGAAACTATTAAGAGACTCACGCGTGGCAGGGACGCTGGACTTGGTGAAGGACTTCTCCGGCGCAGATATTAAGCTGATTGCACATCGATTTAAGGAACACCGCATCTGCTGGCTGGACTTGCATGAGCTTCCCGATGAGAGATCCAGTTATTCAAGGATCCATTATGGCTTATCACCCGTTTTTACCTCACCGGGGTCCGGAATTTGCCATGAGCGCAATGCTGGGTCACCAGCCATCCTTCTTCCCGGCCCTGGCGCTGCCACCTAACGGCTCGCTGTCTCTGCCTGGGGCGCTGGGCAAACCAATAATGGAGCAGCTGATGGGCGCAGCAGAGGCCGGCCTTCACTTCTCCTCGCTGGGACACCACGCCGCCACCGCGCATCTCCGGCCTCTGAAGACGCTTGAGCCCGAGGACGAGGTGGAAGACGACCCGAAAGTTCACCTCGAAGCCAAGGAACTCTGGGATCTTTTCCACAAGCGCAGCACAGAAATGGTCATCACTAAATCTGGAAGGTAAACTGGAATTATTCAATAAATCAGCTGTGCTTCGAATTTAATGAAGTGAAACACAGTCCGAGATTACAGTCGCTATCTTGAGTTCTGATTGATTTATTGATCTGAGTGACTCACGGATTTCTTTAGAGGAGCACATGTGGCAAGATAGCTGGACAGGCCCATTGCTTTTTATTGTTCATTCTGTTTTTGTCTGAGCATGTGTTTTTTTTTTTTACAACGTATAACCCAAGTTTAACTAGGCCTATAAATGTTTTAATCGAAATTCATGGTTGTTGTTGTTGTTGTTTTATCGTTATAAAATTAGTTATGTTATCGTTTTATTAAAGTGCATGCAAACATCTGTAATACCAAGTATTACACTTAATATCACAAATAGATGTAGCATAGACAAGAGCACAATTCATATTGCTCCGAAGCTGATTTTGAACAGTGAAACGCGCGGCTTGAATTATTGTCAAGTCGCATTCGGTAAGTTTTGATTTGTAACTTAGTTTTGCCGTAACGTTAAGTTAAAGAGTTTAGCATTTTTTATTGTTGCGCTGCGTTTAGATTTGGGGGTGTTTCACAAGTTAGGGCTAATGATTGGGCCTAGACCTTGATCTGCACACAACAAAATAATTTCAGGTCTTTGCATTTAATGTTTCTCTAGACAGCAAAATGCATCTTGTTGTTTGCATGTTATCTCGCAAGTCAAGTCACGTTTATTTATATAGCGCTTTTAACAATACAGATTGTGTCAAAGCAGCTTTAAAGTATTAAATAGTGTGTCAATAATGCAAAAGGACAATAGTAAACACTCAATCTTCAGTCTCTGATCTCTGATCTTCTCTGCAGGCGAATGTTCCCTCCGTTTAAAGTCCGATGCACGGGCTTGGACAAAAAGGCCAAATATATTCTGTTGATGGATATCGTTGCGGCTGATGACTGCAGGTATAAATTTCACAACTCTCGCTGGATGGTGGCAGGAAAGGCTGACCCCGAAATGCCAAAACGGATGTACATCCACCCCGACAGTCCTGCCACTGGCGAGCAATGGATGTCTAAAGTCGTCAATTTTCACAAACTTAAACTGACAAATAACATCTCCGACAAGCATGGATTTGTAAGTGTAAGAAAAGTATAAACTTTATTCTTCTTCTTATTATTATAGTGGTTGTTGTTTAAATACGTGTGTTCAGTGTTTGCATTTTCGTTACAAAATGTCTTCGCACTGTCCAGCAAGTTTGTATCTGTACTGAGCTATAATTTTAATTTAATTTCAACTACGAGCACACAAATACTGTCCGAGTTGCGGGGGGGAAATGCAGGCTTCGACTTGTCAGTGAGCAAAAAGCATGCAGAAAGTGTGCCCAATATGTAAGATTTTTTTACTGTTTATTAAAATGTTACTGAAAGTCAACTGTATTTTTTATATATTTCAGACGATACTAAACTCCATGCACAAATACCAGCCAAGATTTCACATTGTGAGAGCCAACGACATACTGAAACTCCCATACAGCACGTTCAGGACCTACGTGTTCCCCGAGACAGATTTCATTGCTGTCACTGCCTACCAGAACGATAAGGTTGGTTATAAGTTTGTGTGTTGAATCTGACTCAACTCTTAACCTGCCGCGCTGAATACTTTGCGCTAAACATTTAATAGCATACACCGTGGCCTTACAGGAGAAGTAATGTTTGGTGCTTTCAGTACTTTTGTCTAGAACATATTATTATGCAGTGCATTTCCACATTATACTTATTAGCTGTGTCACTGTGAGGCCTACATCATAATGCAAAGCCTAGTAATACAGAAAGCAAACACGCATCATTCTTTCACTTTCTCCTGTTCGACACACACATGGTTATCGTTCATGTATTATTTATTTATTTATATGAGGCAAAAAATCAGAAGATCTCCAACATTTTGTGTGTGTGTGTGTGTGTGCGTGTGTGTGCGTGTGTGTGTGCATGCGTGTGTGCGTGTGTGTGTGCGTGCGTGTGTGTGTGTGTGTGTGTGTGTGTGTGTGTGTGTGTGTGTGTGTGTGTGAAAGAATGAGAAGAAGGAAGGGAGGACTAGCCATAGTGGGAGGGACTGAAGAAAAGAAAAGAGATTCAAAAATTGTGTGTGTGTTAATTTATTAGAAAACTGCTGCAGGAAAATAGTGTTAATGCACTAAATGCATATGGGGTGTCAGGGTGGGGAGACTGAATTTATGTTGAGAGGTTGTAGATATAAAAATGTTCTCAATATCTATGAGCTGGAAATGCCCCCGTGTTTCCTACAAATACCAAAGTTTGAGACAAGTCACTGCAGGCGTAATGTGGGTATTGTAATGCAGAACAAGCATATAGGCCAGCCCTTTAAACTATAAAATCCTAACGTAATCGTAGTGAGTCATACAGCTGTAGTGCATTTTGAATATGTTTCAATAGGCTGCAAATAATTGATTCATGTTATCTTTATTCGTGTTATATTGTTTCCATGTTATTACATTTCAGATAACACAACTGAAAATTGATCACAATCCTTTTGCAAAAGGATTTCGTGACACTGGAAATGGGAGACGCGAGAAAAGGTACGACTGAACGAACTGCTTATTTTACCCTGTAGCTACAATAGCATTCCTTAACGTTCTCAAGTTCAGGACACTGTTGGTTATTATTGCAGCAAGTTCGGTTGTCATGCATTTTACATGGATTCATTTTAATCGTAAAGAAGTAAGATGAATTAAATACTCAAGAACGTGTTGTACAGTCTTATTTGACTCTAATGCAATTAGAAGGTGGTTTACGCTGACATTGTTTCTCAATTTTCCGTCTTCGACTTTTATTCCATACAGAAAACAGCTGGCTCTGCAATCGATGCGTTCGTTCGAGCAGCAGCAGAAAAAAGAAAACGGGACGTCGGATGATTCCTCAGGCGAACAAGCGTCCTTCAAATGCTTTCGCCAGGCTTCGTCCCCTGCGGTCTCAACTGTTGGCCAGAATACCTTAAAAGGTACGAGAGTCAGATAAGCCGCGTGTGCATTTGACAAACATTTACTTTCGGATCAAAATCAAGCTTTCTCCTATACGATTGAAATCGCCCAAGTATTTCCATGGATACTAATGCAAATTATTTTGTTGAAAGACTGCACTCTAAAAAAATGCTGGGTTATTTCAACCCAACTTTGGGTCAAGTTTGGACGAACCCAACTTTTGGGTTAAAAATGTAATGTAAAAATGTAATCAATTTCTGTATGCTAATTGGAGAGCAGCAAATTTGTTTTTGTCGTAAAGTAGAATGTCAAGACGAATCAAGATGCCACACATTAAAATCTGTTGCAGCAAAATCCCAAAATGTCGCATGTATGTTACTATGTTTGTGGAGCACCAAATTAGTATTTATTTCACGTGCATTTTGCATTACCTCTAACTGTGCTTTTACTGATTTTAAACGCCATGCATATAGGGTCTTGCGGTCTGTATTTATAAAAAGGCACATCCAAGTGTCTAAAATAAACTAGATCCAAATGGTGTTTCGCACTCTCGTAGATTTTTGCGACAGTGATGAAGATAGCGACGACGAAGACAAAGATGGAAACGTGAAAGAGGGGCCAGACTCGAGCAAAATCTCCACCACGACCGAGGACTCCAAGGATCACGATGCGAGTTTAAGCAGAAGCCTGTTTGGGGAAAGTGACTCTGTCCAGCGGAGAACTGAAAAGATACGGGACTCGCGGCAGAGTCCCATCACGCTCATCTCGAGCACCACTCGGTCCGGCGAGGAGCTCAAGAGCCCGGATCAGGCCAAAACAGACGACTGCCGGGCACCGAGCAAAGAAAATTACATGCCATTGACTGTGCAAACAGATGGCGCTGCGCACTTAAATCAAAGCCACTTGCACAATTTCGGATTTCCGCCGGGTTTGGCCGGGCAGCAGTTTTTCAGTCACTTGGGTGGCGCCCATCCGTTTCTCTTGCACCCTGGTCAGTTCAGCATGGGAGGTGCTTTCTCAAATATGGCCGCGGGGATGGGCCCCATACTGGCAGCTGTTTCCTCCGGAGGGGTCAGTTCGATGGACACGAGCGGCATGCCGTCACCCTCGCAAAGCCTGACGGGAGCACCGCTGCCCTTCCACCTCCAGCAACATGTCCTGGCCTCGCAGGTGAGCCTGTTAATCACGATTAGCAGTGAACGCATCTCATAGATGCTTTAGTCCTAACCTGCAGCTTGTTTATGAACAATCTCAAGTATGCTTTTGTGGCTACTTTTGAGACCTCGGGGAAAAAATGAGGTGTGGCATATCTTGCAGTGTTTAATTGTCTTTGTTGCGCAGTTCATAAATTGTCAGCAAATATAGAACAACTGACAACTGTTGCTGGAGATTAGCAATAAAGCTGTTCTTGACGGATGTGCGGAAACAGTGATATGTGTCGCAATTAATTTGTAAAAAAGAGAAAACTTTCTCTTTTTCAAATTATTTGCTTTATATATATATATATAGCAATTAATTTGAACATTTCTTCTAAAATTAGCATTTTTCACAGACATTTATGTTTATGTTCAGTTATTTCGCTTTAATAGCAATGACAATAATTCATTGCTATTGCTTTTCACTGTCATTAAAGTGAAATTACTGAATCTACACATAGGTGCCTGTGAAAAATGCTCATTTTAGAAGAAAATTTCAAACGGCACTTAGAGGCTTTTGCATCTGAACTCTTTATATGTATAAATACTATAGTATATATATATAGAGAGAGAGAGAGAGAGAGAGAGAGAGAGCAAAAAAAAGTGACGAAAAATGATAGCATGTAAATTATTGAATATTTGTTTTAATCAAGTCAAAGTCAAGTTTGCAATGAGTGAATCAAGCTAAATACACAATGTATACTAACAGAGCGTTTTTGTGGGTTAAATCATATATTCAGAAATTTATCTTTCAGGTGACAATTGCACGTTATCATATTTTACAGTATATATACTTAACATAGGCCACGACATCTTTCTGAGAAATAAAAACAATGCGCGCGCGCGTGTGTGTGTGTGTGTGTGTGTGTGTGTGAGTGTGTGTGTGTGTGTGTGTGAGTGTGTGTCTGTGTGTGAGTGTGTGTCAAGGGAAAAGGTGTAAATATAAATTAGGAGCAAGGGAACGAAAGAGCAGGACTAAATAAAGGTGCATATTCAGATTTTCTTTTAATGACAATTATGTAATGAATTATTAATTTTGACCTCTGGTTTTGACGAAAAATACAGCATTTTATATAGGCTATTCCCTTTTGGTCGCCATGTAAAAAGTCATTCTAAAGTCAGTTTACATACTTTACAGAGGACAATGTGTATGATCAACGCCAAATGTTCCAGTTGTTTATTTTGTTAAATATCTATCTATCTATCTATCTATCTATCTATCTATCTATCTGTGAGTGTGTGTCAAGGGAAAAGGTGTAAATATAAATTAGGAGCAAGGGAACGAAAGAGCAGGACTAAATAAAGGTGCATATTCAGATTTTCTTTTAATGACAATTATGTAATGAATTATTAATTTTGACCTCTGGTTTTGACGAAAAATACAGCATTTTATATAGGCTATTCCCTTTTGGTCGCCATGTAAAAAGTCATTCTAAAGTCAGTTTACATACTTTACAGAGGACAACGTGTATGATCAACGCCAAATGTTCCAGTTGTTTATTTTGTTAAATATCTATCTATCTATCTATCTCTGTAGGGTCTGGCTATGTCTCCCTTTGGAGGTCTCTTCCCGTATCCCTACACGTACATGGCCGCCGCGGCAGCTGCTTCATCCGCCGCTTCTTCATCGGTTCATCGTCATCCGTTTCTAAACGCGGTGCGGCCCCGGTTACGGTACAGCCCTTACTCTTTACCGAGCGTCCCCGACAGCACTTTGCTTACGACGGCTGTGGCGAGCAGTGGCATGGATCTGAAGGGAGACGGGGTGACGGCGAGTCTGGACTCTGAGGTCACCAGCCGCTCGTCTGGTTCGGTATCAGTGTCACCGAAACCCTGCGCCGAGACAGGTTCCCGCAGCGAGCTGCAGAGCATCCAGCGCCTGGTCAGCGGACTCCAGTCCAAACCGGACAGAGCGCGCAGTGCGTCTCCATAGACATCACCGACGAGCAACCCCTGTGCACTACGCACCTGCATCGGAGAAAACCTTTGGACTCAATATGCACTTTGGTAAAACAAATAAACACGTAAATGTTGTTCTTTTGTTAAATTAAAACAGTACCTTTAATTTTAAAGTACCCCCCAACTATTTGAATGCCAGAGAAGTATTGAACAGTGAACAGTTTGGCAAGGATGTCAGAAACTGAATAAAGCTGCTGCTCCTCTTTGTGTTGTTATACGTCAGGGTGACGGTGAATTAATTTAATATGCACTCTGAATCGGTTCTTGCTTTATTTGATATCTCTTTATCGGATGTGTTTGAAAACATATTAATGAATTAAATAAGTTACCGGAGGCATATTGCATGTCAACGATTAGACTTGATCAAGACTGCTGTTTGTTTTTTTTAGTTAAATGCGTTCGTCTGTATTGTTCAAAGCGCAAAATCACCAAGAACGGAATCTACACTACAGTTTTAAGAATATTTTGCAATGTTAAGGAGTTTAATCTTTACCCACACACACATATACATACATACATATAATATAATAATAATAATATATTCTATTTATTTTTGTGTGAACATGAGGAAGGCAGTCTAGTCATTTTTTATTATTTTCCCAAAGTCATCGAGTCCACAGACCACTGATTAATCACTTGTCTAGATTAACAGACGCGGTACTAAAATTGCTTAGAAAATATAGTTTCGAGATGAAAAGGGATCATATGGTTATAATAAAAACAAATGTAAATAACGATATATATATATATATGTAATTATTTCATATGAATATTGCTTGTAAATATAACTGAGGTTCTTTGTTTGTTTGTTTATTTGTTTGTTTGAGGGAGCTTAACTTAATTTATTGTTGACATATGTGTAAATTAGTATGTGAGCATTTTCCTTGTTAATTGCGTTCTCATCTGCGTCTGGATTCCACCACAAAGCTAGTTTCTCTAGCAGACAAAAATAATGTGCCATCGTTTTGATTAACTGTTGTGTGTTTAAGTGCTTTGGTTCAAACTAATTAAAGGCGATAACACAACGCACCAATGGCTTGAAAGTAATGACACTTTTATTTCACAGCAACTAAAAATGCTTTAGTCCAAGTGTGTCTTCAAATCAACCTTTTGTGACCTATGACTGCCAAAAAATAATTTTAAAAAAAGTGCAGAAAAGCGTATAAGTAAATAAAGATTTTCCACTGTGTTCCCAATGTGTTCGGACTCTATGCTTAATTTGTATAATTTACGGTCTGATAAAAAAAAAATTATTACAACATGATAGCCACCTGAAATAGACATTAAAATTAATTGTCGAACTACACCATTACAATGCGCATACAGACGAATTGCGCACAGCCAAATAAAGTAATAATCAAAACAAAGTGATTGTCTTGTATTCATAATAAAAACATTAATTCAGACAGACGTGTGTAACTATACTTTTCGTTCATGGAGGATGTTCTCGAGCAAAAAGGAGGGAAAGTGAAAGTATTAGCACATCTGGAGCTGTACGTGAGCACGCCGTGAGAAAGCTTTATAAGCCTCTGCGTGCGTGTTTACGTGGACCGATGTGAACCTGGAAGAATGTGAAATAACTTGACTGCTCACTCTGTGGAGCCTCGAGTCAGGGTTTATCAAGACTATGTCTTTATTTGTGTAAAGTACGGTTAATAAGTAACGACATCGGCGCTGAAGAACAGTGGTAAACACCACGTAAACTATCACAATTGCTCCTTCTATTGCTCACCTGGCGCCTTCGTTATCAGAGGCGTGTTTATTACACGTCTGAGTTCTGCTGTTGACAAAGTCAAAGCTGTCGCCACCCAGCGGTCACAGGGCAAAGTACATGTCAAAGAGCAAAGTGTCACTCTCACACATGCATGCAAACACACAAAACATTGTTAACTTAAAAAAAGAGGTTAACGTATTATTATTTAATAGTCTATGTGAAGAGACTGTTGGGTCCGTTTGCGAATATTGATGATGTACTGAGCGACACGAAAGACTGAGAAAACTATAATATAACAATTCAAAATTGTGGTGGATTTTAAGCTAAATAAGAGTCAACATCTGTCATCTTCCTGTGCTTGATGTAAAAACTATAGGATGAAAACTAGTAAAAGATATTTAAAATACATGAATGTTAGATAGGCTAACAGACCAATTGTTCATAAAAGGTTGGTGCCATTAAAATGGAAACTGGAGAAAGTCTAAAAGGGATAGTTCACCCGAAATGCACATTTAGTTGGACCGTACCAGGCAGTCTTTTTTCTTCGGAACACAACACATGTCTCAGGGTTTTTTTCTGGCCATACGATGAAAGTCAGAGGAGTCTGAGGATGTTTGGAGACCTGTGTTCTTCAGAATTACTTCTTTTGTGTTCCGCAGGAGAAATAAAGTCAAATATACTGTATAGAAATGCTGTGAGAAAATGACGGAATTTACTCCTAGATATCCTAAAGGGGTATCTTTGTTGTTTTGTTTATTAATAATGAAATACATAATAATACAAATAATTCATAATTTGGAAAAGGATAATAACATACAGTTAAAAATAAAAACCAAGTGAGAATATAATAAATGGATTAAGTAAAATTGTAATCCTATATTTTCAGAAGAATGTGGACTTGACTGTTAAATAATTCTCAAATGATACTTATTTGTTTCCCAATTTCAAAAATGTCCACCAAAATATTCAACAAAGAATGAGCAGCCTATAATGCCGGCTTGGACTCGGATAGACTGATTATGGTTTGATTGCAAAATCATTCGTTCTGTTGCCGTGAAACACTTAAAATTAAAATATTAGACGTTGCATTACAGGCATAATTTGTTAAAATGGTAATTTGTTATAAAGATTTATACAGCTTGAAAACAAGTATCAAGAACATTTTGTAACGAGGCTTGATCTTGGTGTTCGACCTGCTGCTTGAGCTGCAATATTAGAGCGCCATCTACTGGTGATCTGCAGCTAATGAGAATCACCACTTTCTTACTCAGAGACCGATGCGATATTACAATACTCCGTTTCTGAGTGGAGAAAATGCAGCCCTGTTTTATGCTCTCTAAACTATACATATAATACATAAAAATACATGACTAAATTCAGTATACATTATATATTGGTGTGAACTATGTAACATTTTTTTTCTTATTAACTAACCATCTTCATCGATTTCCATAGCGTACTCACAATGGTGTTACATTTCTAAATAAAATTTAAAAGGTTATTTTAAAATCCACATTATAAATGTCTTCATAGTTAAAGTTTACAAAGTAACTATTAGATCTTTAAACAAATGTGTATTCTTGCCTAACTATGAAACACTCTTCCTCACTGTCATGCAGTTTATTAGAGAGTGTTATTCCCTGTGTTCAGCACACACACACACACTCACTCACACTCACACTCACACTCACACACTCACTCACTCTCCCTCCCTCACTCACACACACACACACACACACACAC